ATTATGAGTTCATACAAATACATAGATAAATTAATTGATAGAAAGTTTAATGAGGAAGAGGATATTTATGTAATACCTCCCCACAAAAATGCTTATTAACCGCAAAGGAACAAAGAATAAGTTTACAAAGAAAACCTTGGCCAATGCCACATTATCAAGCAATCCAAATGAACATCATCAGTAACAGATCAAATTAAGACCTTGTGCCACCTGATTGACTGCAAATAGAACACATCCTTACTTCTGTGAGATTCTGGTTAAAGATGCTTAACTGGAATCTAATCATCAGGAAACACTAGACAAATGTGAATTAAGGGACATTCTGCAAAATAACCTGCTGGTAATCTTAAAACATGTCAAAACCCTCAAACAAATCATGAGAGTTAAGGAAAGACTAGGAACTGTTCCAAACAGAAGGAGACTAAAGAGGCACAGCAACTACTGTGCATTCGAACTGGGTCTATTTGCTATAAAGGACATTGTTGGGACAACAGGCTAAATGTGAATGAAGTCTGAGGATTAGAGTTCTCAGACTCTAATGAATCCATGCAGACTTCCTGATTTTGATGGTTGAATCCTGTATCTGGAGAATGTCCTTGTTTGTAGAAATACACATTAAAGTTGAGGGGTGATATGATGAGATATGTTTGACAATTTACTTTCAAGTGGTTCAGAGAAAAAAGTTAATTATGAACTTGCAACTATTCTATATATTTGTTTCAAAATTTTAAAAAGTGTTTTCCCCCATGTTCTCACTCATAAGTGGGAACTGAACAATGAGACCACAGGGACGCAGGGAGGGGAACAACAGACACTGGGACCTGTGGGGGTCGGGGGAAAGACAGCGTCAGGATAAATAGCTAATGCATGTGGGGCTTTATACCTAGCTGATGGGTGATAGGCGCAGCAAATCACCATGGCACAGGTTTAACTATGAAACAAATCTGTATGTCCTGCACATGTATCCTGGAACTTAAAATTTAATTTAATTTAACATAAAAAAGATTAAAAACAATTTAATAAAAAGTGTTTTTAACTTAAAACACATCTTGGCGCTTTTGCTCTTCTGCCATTGCCATGATGAACTTCTCCCTATAAGAACGCATTGGAATGATGGATTATACTTATCTTTGCAGAAGGAAAAACGTGGAAGAATGGGTTTGAGGAGAGTACACAGGGTGTCTCCATTATCTACTGCTATGTAACAGGCCATTCCAAAATTAATGGCTTTAAAGCCACAACTACGTGTTTGCTCATGATTCTGTGGGCTGGCAACTGGGCAGGGCCTGGTTAGGATGACTCATCTCTGTTCCGTGGGATGTTAGCTGTGCTCACTCATATATCTTAGGCCAGTTGGTTTGTTGTCTGGAGCTTGCTGTTCCCAGATGTCCTCACTCACAGTTTTGGGTCCTCAGCTTTGATGCTTAGATCTCTCTCTTTCTATGAGGTCTATCCCCATGAACCCTCATCCTCAAGGAGGCCAGATTGGGCTTGTTCACAAAACTACAACATTCCCAGAGGGTGAGAGAGGAAGTTGTGAGGCTTCTCCCTGAAAGCCAAGGCCTAGAAGTCATATAATGTTGTTTTACCACATCCTGTTCGAAGCAGTGATGAAGTCAGTCCAGAGTCAAGTGATGGAGAAATATATTCTTGATGGAAGAGCTGCAAATAATTTGCATTCGTACTTACTGTATCTAATATGCAATAGATACTGAAGATACCAATAGATAATGGGAGTTTTTATTGAGTATAAAATATACTATTTAAGCAAATATAGTGACAGCTTTATGCGTGATTTGGTAATGCTGGGTAATAGATGCAGTTGTTCACTACAAGTTTCCTATACTGATTCTTTAGGTTTGAAATGTGACTATACATTTATTCATGCTCCGTAGAGCCCCAGAGCTGTTAAAGCTCTCACTTTTCCAAAAGTTTGTGATAAAGAACAAACTGCCTTTGGAGAAGAATTTTATTTGAATATCAGGAGTTCATGACTGAGCAGGAGTTGGAACTCAGTGCTTCTGGCATGTGCATTTTAGGCATCTATGTATTGCCACTGATTTTTAGAGAGGCCAGAGACTCTTAGGCTAAACTCTGTTCATATTTAAGATTCAGAGATATACAGATAGAGGGTGAACTGGGATAGCTCTGGTGAGAGCCGGATTACAGAGTAGAGGGTGATGTTCCTATTTGTTCATGAACAAGGACTGCAAGGAATTAAAAGAGTACTGGCCCAGCACACCACACTTAACAGCAGGGCCTCATCGTGAGAGAAAATTTTAGTTCATGGCACTGTGTGGCAGCTAGTACTGAAAATGATCCCAGGCCAGCCTGTGCATCAGGAAGAGAAGAACTATTGGGAATCTAAAGGGCTGCCTTGCTAAGGACACTAATGCTTTGGGGCTCAAGCAATTCTGGTTGGGAATCCCCAAAGTGATGGAAGTGCAAGAGTGTTTTTCTTCTCAATTTGTCTGAGATATGATAAAACTCTGAGCCCAAAGCATATTGATGCCTACCCAGTATTATCAAGATGAGGTGAGACTTTTATAAATGATGTTGGATTCGAAGGCCATGTAAGACAGGTCCACAGCCTCAGAATGGCCTCTCTGTGGAAACAGGAGGCTGGGCTAGCTGGTCCAGACTCAGGGCTTGACCAGGTATCAGGCCAGTTTGCACACACACATAGGCACAGCCTTAGAATTCCCAGAAATATTTCAGGAGGAGAATTCTACATAAAGCATCTTCCTGTTATCAAGGAAAGGGAGAGCTTGAGTCCATTGAGATTGGAGTTTTAATCAACTTAAGAGATACTGATTCTCAATGGCTCTAGGCACTAATGTAGCATTTATATTTTGTTAGCATTAATGCAACTGACATTTAACATCTCTTTAATTACAAGATGTTTATGGCATCTATACAGAACTCATTTCAGATTCTAAAGCCTCAGGATACTGAAAACATGTTTAGAATGTGCTTTCTTTAAGTACTGAATTTTGTCAGACTATTCCAGAGAAACTAGGGGAGGGACAGCAGGGCATGGGGAGTTGGGGAGGGATGACATGGGGAGAAATGTCAGATATAGGTGATGGGGAGGAAGGCAGCAAACCACATTGCCATGTATGTACCTATGCAACAATCTTGCATGTTCTTCACATGTACCCCAATACCTAAAATGCAATAAAATATATATTTAGAAAAAAAAAAGACTACTCCTCCATCCGTGTTGGGGATTTGAATGGCTGTTTCTTTTATTAGTTAATCATATGATGATGACCACCAGCTGCTTCAGTGGATCTGACATTCTTTGCTCTTCTTCCTTTTATCAACCAACAATGAATCTCAAATTCTCCTATTTTTGATTAGCTTTGTTAAGGTGTAATTTACATACAATGAGATTCACTAATTTTAAATGGGCAATTTGATGGACTTTTGACAAAAGCAAAAGGTAGTGTAACCATGACCACAATTTTTATTTTTGGAATGATAAAAATACAGACATTTTTATCATCCCAAAATGTTTTCTTGTGCTCTTTGCCCTGGCAATCACCAATCTGCTTTCTGTTACTATATCTTTTGTCTCTTCTACCATTTCATATAAAAGGAATCATACAGGAAGTAGTCTTTGTGTTTTTTCACTTAGCATAATGCTTTCAGTATTCATCCATATTGCCAAGTGTCTCAGTAGTTCATTCCTTTTTATTGCTCATTATTCCACTGTATGAATGCATCACAATTTGTTTATCCATTCATTCATTGAAAGGCATTTGAATTGTTTCTAGATTTTGATAATTATTGATAGAGCTGCTATTAACATTCATGTACTGGCTTTTCTGCCAACACAGTTTTTGTTTCTCTAGGGTAAAACAGTTTGGGCATCCCTAATCCAAAATGTTCCCAAATCTGAAACTTTTGAGCTCTGATATGACACCACATATCAGAGGTCAGATGGAATATTCCACACTTTACCTCATGTGACAGTCACAGTCAAAACACAAGTGCACAATGTACAGTTTATTCAGTATTCCCAAAGGGAGAAAGACCTTGCTAGCCCACTTCATCTGTAATATATTTTTTCTAAACACATTCAGATTCCTCAATAGAAGCCCACTCACAAAGAGGAAGAAAAGTATTGCAGACTGGATACATGAATGCCAAGTTCCCCATGATGCCCCTTGTGCGGCCAAGACCTACGTGCCTTACTCGCTGTGTTTTTTAGCTATATTTACTCTGCGGTGTAAAGATACTATTGAAAGCCTCAAAAAGGTCTGCAGAAATCCCTGTGGGTAACAGTTGATTAAAACAAAAAGGGAAAGCATTTATGTTTATCCGTTTCACAGAAAGTCAAGCTGTTGGAGAAGCTGGATAGTAGTGCAAGTGTGAAACATCTTACGGAAGAATGCTGTGTTGGAATGGCCACATGAAATAGATGATGAAACAGAAGGATATACTGTTGTACTATGCTGAAAGGGATAAACAGAAGTTAATGAAAAATACTGCATGAAGCTATAAATGAAGATCTCAATCATGTATTGAAAGAGTGGATATGTGACTGCTGCAAAGAACATATGCCACTTAATGGTATGCTGATCATGAAACAAGCAAAGATCATCACATATTGAAGATTGAAGGGAACTGTGAATGAATATTCAACAAGTTGGTTGCTGAAATTTAAGAAAAGGCATGATATTGAATTTTTAAAGATTTATGGTGATAAAGCATCTGCAGATCATGAAGCAGTGGATAAATTCATTGACAAGCTTGCCAAAGTCATTGCTGATGAAAATCTAATACCAGAACAAGTCTATAATGCTGATAAAGCATCACCGTTTTGGTGTTATTGCTCCAGAAAGACACTGACTACAGTTGATGAGACAACCCCTACAGGAATTAAGAATGCCAAGGACAGAATAATTGTGCTGGGATGTGCTAATGCAGCAGACATGCATAAGTATCAACTTGTTGTGATAGGAAAAGCTTATGTCCTTACTGTTTTCAAGGAGTGAATTTCTTATCAGTCCATTATTATGCTAACAAAAAGGCATGGATCGCCAAGGACATCTTTTCTGATCAGTTTCACAAACATTTTGTACCAGCCGCTTGTGCTCACTGCAGGGAAGCTGGAATGGATGCTGCTGTAACATTTTATTATAACTTGAAAACTGCTCACCCTTCAGCTAAAATTCTCACCAGAAATAATGGTCATGCCATATACTTTCCTCAAAATTTGACTTCATTAATTCAACCACTTGTATATTTATATCAATGAAGAGTAAATATAAAAACACTTACTTGAACAAATCTATGGCAGGGAACAGAGGCGTGGGTGTAGGTTTTCAAAAGGACATGAAGAATGCCACAGTATGCTGCTGTCAACACTTGGAACACTGTGACTACAGTTGTCCAAGCCTGGCACAACCGCTGGCCTGCAATTATTTTCAGTGATGATGATGAATAAGGTGGCGACTTTGAAGGATTACATATGCCAAGTGAAAAAAAATGATGCCTATTCTTACATATGCAAAAAATATACCTTCAGAGTCCATCAGTAAACTGAAAGAAGTGGATATCAAAGCTTTTAACATTGGTAATGAGACTCCAATCACTCATTCATTGACAAATGGTGAAATAGCCTCCAGAATGGTTCTGAATCAAGGTGATTGTGATAATAGTGATGACAAAAATGACATTATTAACACTGCAGAAAAACTGTGTATAATGAATCTGATGAAACCATGTGATTGGCTTAGGATTACAGCAGCATGCATTCATAACAAGAAACCACGTCAGTTTATAAAATCAGAGAGACTTCTAAGACAAAAATTTTGTGAATGCAGCAAATGACTCTAGAGGAAACAACTTTAAAACTCCTCCCATAGAAAGTCCCCTCATTCCTAGGGAACTCACTTCCTGGTCCCTCAACTGGTTCTGATGCTTTGTCTCACCAAAAAATAGAAAATATAGTGTATGGTAATCTTTTCATTGAAACATAGCTTCAGAATAAAGACTGAAAGTCTGCTGTTGTTCGTTGCTGCTGTTTAACAGCAACAGGTATTCTGGTGATGCTACTGTGCTGCTTAGTTACCTGAAATATTATTATTTCACCACATTAATGGTGTGTCCTATCTTGGTGCTAAGTACTTAATGTGTGAATAAGCATAAGAAAATGATTGCTTATCAGTGGCATATACATTCAGAGTCACGAATAAGGGTGATGCCAAACAATCACAGATTGTCCACGTGGGTGGCTAGTGACACCTTTGGTTTCCGATGATTCAAAGTATATAAACTTGTTTCATCCACAAAATTACTTAAAATAATGTATAAAATTACCCTCAGGTTATGTGTATAAGGTGTATATGAAACATAAATGAATTCTATGTTTAGAGTTGAGTCTCATCTCTATCTCATTATATATATGCAAAAATCCAAAATTGGAAACACTTCTAATTCCAAGTATTATCACTTTAAAAGAGCAGCAAATATTTGCTGAAACAAAAGGAACTATAGGCTGTGAAAAAGGTCTGTGGCAGAGAGAGTTGGAAGGAAAATAAACAGGCTTTGTTTAATAAACAAGCCAACAGTTAGGAAAAACAGAACTGATGACTAAAGAGAGAAAAGCGCTCCATACGGGACACTTTCCCCCTTGTTTTTTGTATGAATCTAACTGCAGTGAGTCCTTGTTATTGAGAAGTGGTTTATGTTCTTAAAATTGATGAACTATTAATGTATATGGGATATATCCAGATGAGGGCATATAGCATACTGCAGAGTCCCTTAAACCTTAATGTGCATAGGAATCACCTGGGAGTATTGCCAACTGCAGGTTCTATTTTAGCAGGTCTGGGGCAATGTTGGAGCTTCTGCATTTCTACTGAGTTTCTGGGAGAGGAGAATATCGCTGGGTTGTAGATGTGATGTCAGAGCATGTGAGTTCAAATCCTACATCACTTGAAGCTGTGTAAACCAGGGCCCATTAATTAACCTATCTCAGTTTTCTCATCTGTGAGATGGGGATGACAGCAGCATACAGGTGCTCCCTAAGGGTGTTGTGAGGACTACATGAGAAAGAATGTCAGGCATTTAGATGAATGCCAGGCACATAGTAGGTGCTACGTTATATACCTCTGGTTTTCAGTAAGTTCCAACATTCAAGGCAGTCGTATGTCTAATAGCTTCTAGCCACATTGATTGAGTCTTACACCATCTTTTAGTTTCTCCGAGGTCCTGTGCCATACTCCTGGTGACAGACACCAGTTTTGCTAGTGCTGCTAATTAAGAGAGCCAATTCAGAGCCACTGAGACTGTCTTGGAAAAAGAAAACCCACTGAAAAGATGTCAAAGAGAGATTAACCATTTGATATGTTTCACCTGATGGAAATGTCACAGGTTCAGCCCCATGGTGTGACAGTAGATATTTCTACAGCCAGCAGTAATGGTGGGAAGGTGCTCAAACAGTATGTTTGAAAGAATTTCCAGTCTAACCCCAGGGCCCCCGTGACAGCTCAGAGAGCTGCACCAATGTGCCCTTTTCTCTGTGAGAACCAGGCAGTGGCTCAACCACAACAGCCAGTGAATAGACTCTGTAGTGTTGTTTGCATCCTGCCCCTTTAATCTGCCTCCAGCACCCCTGTAGATGTCCTAATTGGTCCTCTGGATCCAGCCCTCTCTGGCCTGTCAGCTCAGCTCTGTGTACATGGCCTGCTTTCATCTCCCTGCTTGCTTGGCATATTGCTCTATTCTCATAGTTTTCTGATGTTAAAAGCAGCTTGTAGAGCTTGGATGATCTTCATACCATTTCTGCCTCCCTTTTAGTAACTGTACTAGAAAAACAGCTGTTCATCTCAATTAGGTTTTGATTGCTAATTACCAACTACCTGTCAGGATCAAACAGCTCTCTTCCTGGGCCCTTTAGCTATTTCTCATGCAATTGGTACGCTTGGTTTCCATGAGAACCATTTAGCTAGATGCCTCCTCAACCCAAACTGCCACCTCTTCTGTGGCTTTCATAATATCTCTCCAGTGCACTCTGAGGCTCCTTGTCCATGGCCCTGCTTCCTGGTTTTCTTCATTTCATTGTCCAATCAGAGTTTCCAATGAAAGCCATTTCATCTCTATTGTCATTACAAGTGTGTCTTGGAAAGGGCAATTGATGATTAGTAAGTCCATTCATTGAACTTAGGTTTAGAATGCATGCTTTAAATTTTCATCTTTATAGATGTGTGTCCTCTTGCTTGCATTCTGTTTACCTATATCAGAAGCTGGCATGAGGGCCAACTCTGGTCTACAGAGTGTTTTTGTAAATAAGGCCTCATTGGAATGTAGCCTACAACATTACATATTGTCTGTGGCATAGTTGCTATCATGTTACAACAGCAGAATATTTGTATCAGAGATGGCATGGCCCAAAAAGTCTAAAATATTTACCACCTCGTCCTTTACAGAAAAAGCTTGCCAACTCTTGACCTATGGCTTTGGTTTTCAATGTGTGGTTCCTTAGAACAGCAACATAGAATCACCTGGAAACTTGTTGGAAACTCAAATTCTCAGGCCCCACCCTAGACCTACTGAATCAGAAACTCTGAGGACTGGGGGTGAGTGTGGTGGATTAATCCAGCACTTTGGGAGGCCAGGGTGGGTGGCTTGCTTGAGCTCAGGAGTTTGAGACAAGCCTGGCTAACATGGCAAAACTCTATCTCTATTAAAAATACAAAAATTAGCTGGGTGTGGTGTGACACACCTGTAGTCCCAGCTACTCAAGAGGCCAAGGTGGGAGAATCACTCGAACCTGGGAGGTGGAGGTTGCGGTGAACTGAGATTGCACCACTGCACTCTAACCTGGGTGACAAAGACCCTGTCTAAAAAAAAAAAAAAAAAGAAAAAGAAAAAAAAAGCAGAAACTCTGAGGGCAGAGTCTAGTTTGAAAAAATTAATTATTTAAAAATATTTAATAAGGATAGTGTATTAGAGGTAAACAGCATGATGATTTTATCTGTATATACACTGTACAATGGTTATCATAATCATTAACACATCCAATCACTATGCATGCTATACATTAGGTCCCCAAAATTTATTTATCTTATAACTGAAAATTTGTACCCTTTGATCAACATCTGCAAAATCTGAATTTTTAAAATTTTTAGATATTTAATTGACAAAGATTGTACATATTTAGGTGTACAATATGATGATTTGATATACATGTACATTGTATAATGATTATCACAATCAAATTAGTTAACACATCTATCACCACCCATGCTGTATATTCAGTCCCGAGAACTTCTTCACTTGCAACTTAAAGTTTGTACCCTTTGATCAACATCCCCAGTAGTCTGAATTTTAATAACCCTTCCAGGTGATTTGGATGCCCACCGGGGTTTGAAAACCACTGACTTCTGCTGTTGTACCTGAGATTGTCCTCCATGATATATATGCATGGCACTATGGCAAATGAAAGAAATCTGTTTAGCAACTGGTATTCTTCCATATTACAAACAGTGAGTTTGGTGGGCTTTCAGGGTGGGGAGTAAATGATATGCCACCAAATGGTGAGACTCTGTCAAATTCCGTTGACTATGGTCATGATACCTGATGGAAAGTAACTAGTAATTTCTGTTTCTCCTTGTGCAAATCATCTCATCATATTCTTTGCCAATTTTTCTACTTGAACTACTGAACACTTGTACCAATACTTTGTATTTAATAACATCTACCCTTCACATTGTTGAATACAAGTGTTGAACATGGGCAACCTTGGTTTGTTTCAGTTCTCAGTGGGAATGCTTTCAACATTGCCCCATTCAGTATAACTTTGGCTGTGGGTTTGTCATAGATGGCTTTTATTACCTTGAGATGTGTTCCTTTTATGCTGTTTTTGCTGATGGTTTTCATCATAAAGAATGCTGCGTTTTGCCAAATGCTTTTTCTGCATCTACTGAGATGATCATATGATTTTTGTTTTCAATTCTGTTTATGTGGTGTGTCACATTTATTGACTTGCAGATGTTAAACCATCCCTGCATCCCTGGTAAGAAACCCACTTGATCATGGTGGATTATCCTTTTGATATGCTGTTGGATTCAGTTAGCTAGTATTTTGTTGAAGATTTTTGCATCTATTTTCATCAGAGATATTGGTCTGTAGTTTCTTTTTTTTTTTTTTTTTTTATGTCTTTTCCTGGCTTTGGTATTAGGATGATACTGGCTTTATAGAATGATTTAGGCAGTGTTCCTTCTTTCCTTATCTTGTGGAATAGTGTCAGTAGGACTGGTACTGATTCTTCTTTGAATGTCTGATAGAATTCAACTGTGAAAATATGTCTGGCCTTGAATTCCTTTTTCTGCTAGTAACTTTTTAATTACCATTTCAATCCCACTGCTTGTTACTGATCTGTTCAGAGTTCCTTTTTCTTCCTGGTTTAATCTAGGAGAGCTGTATATTTCCAGGACTTTATCCTTCTCTTCTAGGTTTTCTAGTTTATGTGTATAAACGTGTTCATAGTAGCTTGAATGATCTTCTGTATTTCTGTGATATTAGTTGTAATATCTCCTGTTTCATTTCTAATTGAGCTTATTTGGATCTTTTCTCTGTTAATCTTGCTAATGTTTGATCAATTTTATTTATCTTTTCACAGGCCAGCTTTTTGTTTTATTTATCTTTTGTATATTTTTTTTGTTTCAATTTTATTAGATTCTGCTCAAATCTTGGTTATTTCTTTTCTTCTGCTGGGTTTGGGTTTGGTTTGTTCTTGTTTCTCTAGCTCCTTGAGGTGTGATCTTAGATTGTCTGTTTGTGCTCTTTCAGACTTTTTGATGTAGGCATTTCATGCTATAAATGTTCCTTTTAGCACCGCCTTTGCTGTATCCCAGAGGTTTTGTTAAGTTGTTTCACTACTATCATTCAGTTTAAAATTTTTTCTAATTTCAAATTTGATTTCACTGTCAACCCAATGATCATTCAGGAGAAGGTTATTTAATTTTCACGTTTTTGAGGGTTCCTTTTGGAGTTGATTTCCAGTTTTAATCCACTGTGATCTGAAAGAGTACTTGACATAATTTTGATTTTCTGAAATTTGGTGAGACTTCTTTTGTGGCCTATCATGTGGTGTATAGTGGAGAATGTTCCGTGTGCTGATGAATAAAGTGTATACTTTGCAGTTGTTAGGTAGAATGTTCTGTAAATATCTGTTAAATCCATTTGCTGTAGTGTGTAGTTTAGGTCCATTGTATCTTTGTTGACTTTCTGTCTTGATGACCTGTCTAGTGGTGCTAGTGGAGTATTGAAGTCACCCACTATTATTGTGTTGTTGTCTATCTCCTTTCTTAGATCTATTAGTAATTTTTTTATAAACTTGGGAGCTTCAATGTTAGGTGCATATGTATTTAGGATTGTGATATTTTCCTGTAGGACTAGTCCTTTTATCGTTATATAATGTCCGTTTTTGTCTTTTTTAACTGCTGTTGCTTTAAAGTTTGTTTTGTCTGATATAAGAATAGCCACTCCTGCTCATTTTTGGCATTCATTTTCATGACATATCTTTTATACCCCTTTACCTTAAGTTTACAGGAGTCCTTCTGTGTCAGGTGAGCCTCCTGAAGACAGGAAATCCATGGTTGGTGAATTCTTATCCATTCTGCCATTCTGTATCTTTTATGTGGAAAATTTAAGCCATTTACATTGAACATTAGTATTGAGACGTGAGGTACTACTCTGTACATTGTGCTATTTGTTGCCTGAATAGCTTTTATTATTATTATTATTATTGTGATGTTGTTTTATAGGTCCTGTGAAATTTATGCTTTAAGGAGATTCTATTTTGGTGTATTTTGAGGTTTTGTTTCAAGATTTAGAGCTCCTTTTAGCAGTTCTTGTAGAACTGGCTTGGTAGTGGTGAATTCTCTCAGCATTTATTTGTCTGAAAAAGACTGTATCTTTCGTTCATTTATGGAGCGTACTTTTGCTGGATACAAAATTCTTGGCTGATAATTGCTTTGTTTAAGAAGACTGAAAATAGGACCTCTATCCCTTCTATCTTGTAGGGTTTCTGCTGAGAAATCTGATGTTAATGATAGATTTTCCTTTATGAGTTAACTAATAGTTTTTGCCTCACAGTTCTTAAGATTTTTTTCTTCATCTTGACTTTAGATAACCTGATGACTACGTGCTTAGTTGATAATCTTTTTGTGATGAATTTCCCAGGTGTCCTTTGAGCTTCTTGTGTTTAGACGTCAAGATCTTTAGCAAGGCTGGGGAGGTTTTTCTTGATTATTTCCTCAAATATATTTTCCAAACTTTTAGATTTCTCTTATTCCATGGGAACACCAATTATTCTCAGATTTGGTTATTTAACATAATCCTGGGCTTCTTGAAGGCTTTGTTCATTTTTTAAAAATTCTCTTTTCTTTGTCTTTGTCAGATTGGGTTAATTTGAAAGCTTTGTCTTTGAGCTCTAAGTTCTTTCTTCTACTTTTTCAGTTCTATTGCTGAGACTTTTCAGTGCATTTTGCAATTCTCTAAGTGTGTTCTTCATTTTCAGAAGTTGTGATTTTTTTTTATGCTATCTATTTCACTGGAGATTTTTCCATTCATATCTCATATAATTTTTTGAATTTCTTTTAGTTGGACTTTACCTTTTTCTGGTGCCTCTTTGATTGGCTTAATAGTTGACCTTCTGAATTCTTTTTCTGGCAACTCAGAAATTTTTGTCTTGGTTTGGATCCATTGCTGGTGAGCAGGTGTGATCTTTTGGGGGTGTTAAAGAACCTTGCTTTGTCATATTATCAGAATTGTTTTCCTGGTCCCTTCTCATGTCAGAGGGAAGATCTAAAACTCACAGGCTGCTGTTCAGATTATTTTGTCCCACAGGTTGCTACCTTGATATGATGTTCTCCCCTATCCCCGAGGGATGGGGCTTCCTGAGAGCCAAACTGCAGAGATTGTTATTTCTATTCTGGGTCTAGCCACCCAGCAGAACTATGGGGCTCCAGGCTGGTACTGGGAAGTGTTTGCAAAAGAGTCTGATGTGACCTGTCTTCAGGTCTCTCGGCCATGGATACCAGTACCTGCTCCAGTGGAGATAGCAGGGGAGTAAAGTGGACTCAGTGAGGGTTCTTTGTTATATTTTTGTTGGTTTTGTGTTGGTTGGCCTCCAGCCAGGAGTTGACACTTTCAAGAGCATATCAGCTGTGGTAGTATAAGCAGGATCAGGTGGTGGGTGGGGCTCCTTTGCCCATTTTTAATGGATTTTTTTTCTTGTAAATTTGTTTAAGTTCTGTATAGATGCTGGATATTAGCCCTTTGTCAGAGGAATAGATTGCAAAAATGTTCTCCCATTCTGTAGGTCGTCTCTTCACTCTGATGGTAGTTCCTTTTGCTGTGCAGAAGCTCTTTAGTTTAATTTGATCCTGTTTGTCAATTTTTGCTTTTGTTGCAATTGTTTTTGGCATCTTTGTCATTAAATCTTTGCCCATTCCTTTGTCCAAAATGGTATTGCCTATGTTGTCTTCCAGGGTTTTTTATAACTTTGGGTTTTAAATTTAAGTCTTTAACCCATCTTGGGTTGATTTTTGTAATATGGTATAAGAAAGAGGTCCAGTTTCAGTCTTCTGCATATGGTTAGCCAGTTATCCCAGCACCCTTTATTAAATAGGGAATCCTTTCCTTATTGCTTGTTTTGTCAACTTTGTCAAAAATCAGATAGTTTTAGTGTGCAGCCTTATTTCTAGGTTTTCTCTCTGTTCCATTGGTCTATGTGTCTGTTTCTGTACCAGTAACATGTTGTTTTGGTTGTATCCCTGTAATATAGCTTAAAGTCAGGTAGCATGCTGCCTCCAGCTCTTTTTTTTCCGCTTGATTGCCTTGACTATTTGGGCTCTTTTTTGGTTACATATAAATCTTAAAATTGTTTTTTCTAGTTCTGTGAAGAATGTCACTGGTAATTTAATAGAAATAGCATTGAATCTATAAATTCCTTTGGGTAATATAGCCATTTTAATGATGTTGATTTTTTTTTTTTACTCATGAACATGGATTATTTTTCCATTTGTTTGTAACGTCTGATGTCTTTGGGCAGTGTTTTGTAGTTCTCCTTGTAGAGATCTTTCACTTCCCTGGTTAGCTGTATTCCTAGGTCTTGTCTTGTCTTGTCTTTTCTTTCCTTTCGTGGCAATTGTGAATGGGATTGTGTTCCTGATTTGGCTCTTGGCTTGATTGTTGGTGGTGTATAAGGGTGCTAGTAATTTTTGCACATTGATTTTATATCCTGAGACTTTGCTGAAGTTGTTTATTAGCTTCAGGGGCTTTTGAGTCAAGACTATGGGGTTTTCTGGATATAGGATTATGTTGTCTGCAAACAGAGATAGTATGACTTACTCTCTTCCTATTTGGACACTCTATTTCTTTTGTCTGATTGCTCTGGCAGGGACTTCCAATACTGTGTTGAATAGGAGTGGTAAGAGAAGAAATTCTTGTCTTCTGCCAATTTTCAAAGGGAATGCTTCCAGCTTTTGCCCATTCAGTATGATGTTGGTTGTGGATTTGTCATAGATGATTTTTATTATTTTGAGGCATGTTCCTTCAATACCTAGTTTATTGAGTTTTTTTTTTAACATGAATGAATATTAAATTCTGTCAAAGACCTTTTCTGCATCTATTGAGATAATAATGTGGTTTTGTCTTTATTTCTGTTTATGTGATGAATCACATTGATTAATTTTCTTATGTTGAACCACCTTGCATTCAAGGGATTAGGCCTACTCGATTGTGGTCAGTAAGCTTTTTGATGTGCTGCTAGATTTAGTATGCTAGTCTTTTGAGCATTTTTGCATCAATGTTCATCAAGGACATTGGCCAGAAGTTTTCTTTTGCTGTTGTTGTTTCTCTGCCAGGTTTTGGTATCTGGATGATGCTAGCCTCAATGAATGAGTAAGGGAGGAATCCTTTATTCTCAATTTTTTGGAAGAGTTTCAGCAAGAATGATACCAGCTCTTCTTTGTACATCTGTTAAAATTTGGCTGTGAATCCATCTGGTCCTGTATTTTTTTTTTTTTTTTTTTTTGGTTGGTAAGCTATTTATTACTGACTGAATGTCAGAGCTTGTTATCAGTCAGTTTAGGGATTCAGTTCCTTCCTGGTTCAATCTTGGGAGGGTGTCCAGAAACTTATCCATCTCTTCTAGATTTTCTAGATTATGTTCATAGAGGTGTTTATAATATTCTCTGAGGATAATTTGTATTTCTGTGGAGTCAGTGATAATATCTCCCTTGTCATTTCTGATTGTGTTTATTTGAATCTTCTCTCTTTTCTTCTTTATTACTCTAGCTAGCAGTTTATCTATTTTCTTATTTTTTTCAGAAAACAAACAAACAAACCGGATCCTGGATTCATTGATCTTTTGAATATTTTTGTTGTTGTTGTTGCAGTCTCCTTCAGTGCAGCTCTGATTTTGGTTATTTCTTGTCTTCTGCTAAATTTGGTGTTGGTTTTCTCTTGGTTCTTCAGTTCTTTTAGTTGTAATGTCAGGTTATTAAAGTAAGATCTTTCTAACTTTTTGATGTGAGTATCTAGTGCTATAAATTTCCCTCTTAACACTCCCTAGCTATGTCTCAGATTATGGTTGTATCTATGTTCTCATTAGTCTCAAAGAACTTCTTGATTCCTGCCTTAATTTCCACATTTATCTAAAAGTTGTCCAAGGGCAGATTATTCAATTTCTATGCAATTGTATGATTTTGAGTGAATTTCTTAGTCTTTATTTCTAATTTGGTTGTGCTGTGGTCTGAGAGATTGTTATGATTTTAGTGTTTTGGGGAGTGATCTCCGCTTTGCTGCCTTGGGGCTGCGAATGCTATAGACACGTTGGCGTCAGCACCACTACTGGCAAGTTCTGAGTGCTCTGTAAATAAACTCTTATTTGAGCTACACTCATTCTTTTATATATTGTCTATGGTCACTTTTCTCTGGCGACTTTTGTGCTACAGTGGTAAAATTGAGTAGTTGCAACAGGGAACTGAACTGAAAAGCCAAAAGTATTTACTCTGACTCTTCGCAGAAAAAAAAAAAGCCTGCTCTAAGTTAAATACAAAATTTTCACACAGCCAAATATCATGGCATTTACCTGTTAGTAAATAAATTTCTGAATATAGGTGACTGTAGAAGGCAAGATGAGGACAGAAGACAAAGTGGATGTTTTAACTTCTGAATGAGCAGACTCAGTTTCTACCTGATGGCAGCAATTTGGGACATACACCTGTTTCCTCAGCCCCAAGGCAATTCTGGAAGTTGACCTTATCAGAACTACTGTTTCAGAGTACCATATTGTACATAAATCGTTCTAGGGGAAAAAACAGCTCTTGTTTCTTTGTCTCTTTGCTAACTAACATTTAGAGAATGGGAAATGCTCAAACTCTGCTGCCTTTCCTTCTGGCCCCAACATTCACCTTCAGAGCCTTCCCTACACAGAAAGTGTATTTATCTTTAAAGTAATTCCTTGGACCTTATTCTGAGGGTATATGCCCTGGCTACCCCCTGCTCAATGTTGAGAACAGTGGACAGAAAATCTACAGGCCCAGCTCCTTGGAATGTAAACCTTTATTTAATTATCTTGATGACTGTCCTAGAACCCTTTTAGTATCTGTGTTTCACTATAACATGGAGTTTCCCTAGTACAGGAGTTCTCAAACTTTATGTGCATCAGAATCATCTGAAAGGCTTGTTAAAATCTAGATCCTTGGATTCCACTCACAGAATTTTAGATTTGTGGATCAGGAGTAAGATTTAAGAATTTTCATTTCCATCAAGTTCCCAGGTGATGATGCTACTGTTGGTCCAGAAACCACCCTTTAAGAACTCCTGCTTTAGAGTTTTATTGTGAAGAACAGGTCTTATCTGTAGAGTAGCTTTTCTCATTTTGGCTTTGAGCTATAGTTTTTTCTCCACTTTCCATCTTCCTGTACTTTATCAATATATGGTACACTAATAGTATTTATTTTGTTTGTTTTGGGGCAGATTTTATTCTTTCAAACTACTCTTTCTATTTTTCCGTAGGCATTGGAAACAGGAGAGGAGAGAGACACATACACTTCATTTCTCTTGTGATCTAATCTCCCTTTGTGATTTCATCTCATTCCTTTACACTTAAGACTTTTTATTCTGTATTATCTCTAGTATTTAAGTGGTTAAAGGTCACCAATTGCAATTTATTTTAGAGGGATAATTTAACTTTGTTTTTCCAAATAGTTAAGCATTTGTCCTAGACCATTTGTTCAATAATCTTTCTTTTTCTCACTGATTTGTAATGCCACCTTTAATATATAATAAGTTTGCATCTATACTGCGGTCGATTTCTGGACTATCAAATCCATTAAATTGACCTGCCTGCCGATTCTTTTGTCAGTAGCATACTGCTTTCATTATTGATGTTGTATTATCTGGTAGGCAAGTTTCTTCCATTAGTCTTTATTTTCAACATATCCTTGGTTATTTTTACCCTTTATCACTTTGCCACACCCCCATCTCCCCATCTATCTTGGATTTTTAATGAAGATTCCATAAGTCTATTAAGCATTTTGTGAAAGATTGGTATCACTTTTCCAATGCAAAAATATACCAATTTACTCAATATTTCTTTTATATATCTCTAACTTTTCTAGTGTTCTACAAAAAGGTCACACACTTCCCTATTTTGTCTTTTTTGTTGAAATTATGAAATGGGACTATATTTTTCATTGCAGTTTCTTATTCTCATTTTGAGAGACTTTTGGGGTAGAGTAGAAGGAACAATTTCAAGAAGGGTTTTTTAAAAATAAGAGAATTTGAGGTGAATTGGGAGTTTTGGCTCATGAAAGTGAGTTTTATTTTTGATTTCTATATATTTGAATTAGTGGCAATGCTTGGTGTTTCTTGACTTAGAATCCAAGATAATATGTTTGCATTATGCTAAAATATTATAATCAAACAGAAAATGTTAAACATCTAATAATAACAGAAATGTAATTCATAACTGAACTGTCCTTTAGTAGCTGCGGATGATGCAGTTCAGTAAGTGTACAATTAGGCAGATGTCCTCTTTTTATTTTATCTAAGGCAAGTTCACTCAGTGCCAAGACCTTACCAGAATATGTCAGCTCCTCAACAATCTTCTTTAATTTAGCTGATATTCCCAAATGATCTTTCCAAATTTGAATGATGTTTTGCATATTGCCTTTAGTTCACAAAACAGAATGTATTCTTCAAGTAATAAAATCTTATTCTGGTACTAAAATTCAGTCAGGCATGCTCTGAATATATGCTGACATGAAAATGCTGCTTCATAATCCAGGGGGATATATAAAAATCAAAGAAAAAACTATCTTGGAAAAGAAGCTTATTTAGAAAGTTCAACAACCATAAGTTAAAAAAAAAAAAAAGAAAGAAAGAAAAAAGGAAACAAAACCCCAAAGCCTGAAGTATTCATCAAATCTAACGCATATCATTAGATCTAAGACACCATCTATAATAAGGCATGCCATTGTTTCATGTACCCCGATGAAAGGAACAGATTCTACCATACAAATTATAGATCATAAAACTCATCCCAATTTTAGAGATTTTAAAATTGGGGGTGAAATGTGTTTTTTAGAATTATTTGTATATGTTATACTGCTTTGGACTGTAATCAACAGAAACTTGATTCACAAATGGATTGGATCACATACCTAGAAACCAGTAAAAAAGGCTGGCTTCAGTACTATACTCTCATGGCAGAAGGTAAATGGGAGCTGGTGTGTGCAGAGGTCACATGCCATGAGAGGAAGCAAGAAAGAGAAGGTAGGTGCAAGGCTTCTTTTAACAACCAGCTCTCATGGGAACTAATAGAGGGAGCACTCACTGCCCTCTTCCCCAGGGTGACATTAATCCATCTCATGAAGGACTTGCCCCCATGACCAAAACACCTCCCCTTAAGCCCCACCTCCAACATGGGGATCAAATTTCAACATGAGGTTTAGAGAGGCAAACATCCAAACTATAGCAAAAAGGATATCCTTACTGGTTCATAATCTTAGTGGGGAAGTTTCTAGTTTCTCACGATTAAATATGATGTTAGCTGTAAGTTTTTTGCAGGTATTCCTTATCAGGAAGTTCCCTTCTATTTCTAATTTACTGAGAGTTTTTACCATGAATAGGTGATGAATTTTGTCAAATGCTTTTTCTGCATCTATTGAAAAGATTATGTGATATTTCTTCTTTAGCCTGTTGATGTAATAGATTACATCAATTGATTTTCAAATGTTAGCCTTGCATACCTAGAATAAGTTCTACTTAGTGTGTTGTATAATTTTTTTATGTTGAATTCCTTTTGTTAGTATTTTGCATCTGTGCTCATGAGAGATATTGGTCTGTAGCTTTTTTTTTTTTTTTTATAACGTCTGTCTAGTTTTGGTATTAAGGTAATACTGGCCTCATAGAGAGCTAGGAGATATTTCTTCTGCTCTGTCTTCTGAAATAAACTATAGATAATTGGTATTTTTCCTTAAATATTTGATAGAACTCACCTGTGAATCCATCTGGGTGTGGTGCTTTCTGTTTTGGAAAGTTATGAATTTCTTTACTACATATAGGCATATTCAAATTGCTTATTTCTTCTTGCGTACGTTTCAGAAGATTGTGTCTTTTAAGGATTGGTTCCTTTCACCTAGATTATCAAATTTGTAAGCATAGAGTTACTGATAGTATTCTCTTATTACTCTTTTAATGTCCATGGGATTTGTAGCGATGTTCCCTCTTTTATTTCTGGTACTAGTAATTTGTGTCCTTTCTCTTTTTTCTTAGCCTGGCTCAAAACTTAGAAATTTTATTAATTTTTTTCAAAGAAACAGCCTATAATTTTGTTGATTTTATCAATTGAGTCCCTGTTCCCAAATTCATTGATGTGTGCTCTCATTTTTATTACTTTTTTTGTTTATTTTGGATTTAATTTGATCTTTCTTTTAAAGTTTCCTAAGGAAACTTAAATTACTGGCTTTAGATTTTTCTTATTTCCTGATATATGCATTCAATGCTCTAAATTTCCCTTCAAGCACTGCTTCTGCTGTATCCCACAAATTTTGATAAGTAGTTTTAAATTTTTCATTTAATTCAAAATGTTTTAACTTCTCTTGAGTTTTCTTCTTAAATCCATGTGTTACTATGAAGTGTGTTGTTTAATCTCCAAGTATTTGGAGATTTTACAGCTTTCTTTCAGTTATTGATTTCTAGTTTAATTCCATTGTGGTTTGAAAGCAGACATTATATGATTTCTATTTTTTTTAATTTGTTAAGGTGTATTTTATGGCCCAGAATGTGGACTATCTAATGTGGACTATCTTAGTAAATGTTCAATGTGAGAAGAATGTGTATTCTAGTATTGTAGAATAAAGTAGTCTACAGATATCAATTATATCCAGTTGATTGATGGTGTTATTGAGTTGTGTCATTACTAATTTTCTGCCTGCTGTAATTGTCTATTTCTGATATAGAGGTGTTGAAGTCTCCGACTATTATAGTGGATTTATCCATTCCTTCTTTTAGTTCTAGCCTCACATATTTTGACCCTCTGTTGTTAGGTGCATACACATTAAAGATTGCTATGTCTTTTTGGAGATTGACCCCTTTATCATGATGTAATATCCATCTTTATGCCT